TGGTAGATTTTGTAAGACTCACTTAAATGATTAATAATGATCAATATTAAAGTGAAAACAGCCAAAACAAAGCAGCCTGCAATGGAAAAACAGATGATGATGCCAGTGTCCATCAGTCTGTACGACTTGTTGTACTTTGGCATCAATCAGCGGCGCACCAATGAAATTATTCTATTTTTCATCCTGTAAAAACACGGAACTGAAACGACGTATCGAAGTAAACCCGAGTCAATGTTTGCTTGGGAAGTATTTTGATGAAACAAAGCCCATCGGCGTCTGAATCATTGATAAGCAGAATATTTGATCAAGAGCTTCTTAATCTCTGTCCAAACTCAGCTGCTAATGTGATGTTTCCAAACAGTCTGAGCGAACGCGTCGCCAGATGAAGGAAAGCAAACAAACCAATTATTGGAAGAACAGGACCAAGATGGCTGATATTTGACAAACCGTGATGAAGTCCAGGGGGGGGGATAGTATAAAGGCATGTGCTGAGCGTCATGTGGCTGCTAGCCTAATTTGTGTTTATTTCGGCTAAATGACGCAGTGATTTTAATATTGTGTGATAGCCGAGGTGTATGTGTTTCTACCCCCAGGCTACAACCTTCAGGGGCTCAGAAAGCAGCCACATGGTCACATTTATTCCTGCCAATGCTTTTATTTTGTCTCTTGGATTTTAACTCTAACGTTGCTGCTTTTTCCAGTCACTTCATATCATTTGTGTATATTTTTTGTTTTTATTAAATGCTGCCCTTCTTTAAAACGCACCAAATAAATGAATAATAGCCAGTCACGCCCATTCCTGTGCTTGACATTGGTAAAGGTGAAAAAATATTCACCATTTGAGCTTCCAGATTCAATAACTCAGACATGAAATGATACAAAACCTCTTTCTGACTGCGGTAAAGTCAGTACAGCATGAAAAATGAAGCAGCCACGGCTATAAAAGTATTTATTCAAATATATTTTTGCATAAGTTTTTATTGCCCGACTGTACGGCCCAACCCCACAGCTGCACACACAGTCTGGTGTCAAGCTTCCCAGCTGGATAATTGTGATGTCGATTGTTACAGCTTGGACATCATAGTCAGACTTCCAGGTTTGAGGCTGGAACAAGGCTGATTGCTCCCTCTTGGTTAAGGAGTTGTTGTCCCAAGCAAGGAGCTGAAGCATCTTGAGTTCTTGTTAATGAGTGATGGGAAG